TAATGATCATGTAGATCGAATGTCATATTTCGCATTTAATTTATACTCGTGTAATTGTGTCTATTMAACGTTTTCAATTTCTTTTTACACACAACTTTTTATAAATTTAATTTTTTCATTTATAGAAATATATTACTGGTGGTTGTATATGTATATTGTACAATTGTATTGAACATTGGTTTTCGAATAATTTATTTTCAAATTAAATTTCTTTATGGACGGCTATTATTTATGTTCTATACACATAATACCTATAGGTACTATATTTAATATTGTCAGGCAGCCTCTAGGCAGAAACATTACACTTTGTATGCGCTTGTTTTTAACTTCTTATTAAACAGTAATCCAAACATAATTACAAGGTGTATTGTCGATTTAATTTAAAATTTGTATTCAAAGCAGTTTTATTTGATTACATAAACACAGAGGTCATCAAACAGATTAAACTGTCAGATTTGAGAAAATCTATTGGTCGTTTATACGTTCAGGTGTAGGTATTGAAATATTTTGATCTAAATTATTTTCWTTTTTCATTTATAAACAATAATTTTAACTGTGTTGAATTAWTTGCAGATAATTCATTATTTTATTTTACTATACGTTTTATATTTTCTCTATGAAATGTAAATTTTATATATTTTACTCTTGTATMAATAATTTGTTCAAATTAAAAAAAAGTTTTTAAATTGTACTTYATTATTAAAACCGTGTGCATAAAAAACGATAAAGAATAGTTTTGATTTGTTTTCAWAGTATATATTTTTGTAGTGAATTAAAAACTTTGAAATTAATAATTTGTATAATATTTAATACCATATTATAATAKAACGATGTATAAACTGACATTTTTCAAAACAACAATATTTTTTTAACGATGTTATGTTATACTGAAAATGTAACTAATTGTGCGAAAATGTGTACCGTGTAACATGATTATTATSATTATTATTTTACATCAAATTATCGTAGGTATTACCTGCACAGTCTGACGGGTATTGTGAAATCCTGCAACAACGATATTATTATTTAAATATTTAATTGAGCAGTAAGTTGTCAAGCGCCAACGATAACTGGAAATATTAATTACAGGTATAATATTTATCAACTTGGAACCGGCACGCGGTACCTATATACATTATTATGTTTATAAATACCTACCTTAAACCGCAATGGATTTTAATAATAATAATAATAATAATATGATATCGTACCTTGGTACATACGACGTGTATGCCGGATCGACTCGTGGTCGGAGTCCCGGTGAGAACTGAGAAGTATTTCGATACTAGGCGGATTATCGATCGCCTGGAATCCGTACACGGGAAAAAGAATTAATAATAAAATAATAATAATACGATATGATATTTTTATTATACACAATTTAATAATAATATAAATAATACGATGTGTGTACGAACGATGTTTATCGTACTCGGACACGCGAACGCGACTCCCCTGGTGATTTATGTTGTCTAAGCGCCGCCGCCGTCGTAGTATAATACTATTAAACTGTTTGGACCGCAACGGTAGTTGATTGGAATCTCATCTATGCATAGCACATCACATATTATTATTATTATTATTATCATCATCATACATTCATACACCCCGCTCGAGCGTTTGAGATAATTGATTTTTCAACGTTGACGTCTAAATTGCGTGATGCCTGGGTAGGTAGGCAGGTACTTTGGTATAGGTTAATACCTACAACCAGAGAGTGCCGGTATCGGGCATCTGTGTATAAAATATACTTGGAGCCGCGATGACGCGCATGAGATATAATAAATAATAGACGTGTACGAAAACACCACGACCACGATTAAATACAATATTATTGTAATTTTTCAGGATTTATCGAGTTGACGGCGTTWGTGCGTTTAATAATTGTTTTCTTATATTCTAAATTCTAATATCGTTATTTATGTCTGCGTGTACGCGTACACTGTGCGTGTAAGTGTGCAATGTCCATTCGTCTCCGAACGTTGTTTGATCACTGTAGAGGTTATGATATTATTATACCATATATTTTATAACGATCTCACATTCACGATATGGGTAATATAGGAATATTATTAAGTATTTTTGTTTTTTACTCCCATGGCATTATCGAGTGAAAATATAGTATGTACTGCTTTCAAACAGGACAAATTATACGTCATGCCATGTATTTATATAGAATACCCATAGAAAATATTCACTTTTTGGTATAGTACCTATACTTATACCGATAAAAACAATAAACATGCATGAGCCACACAGTAATATGTACACAATTCGCGTAAAATGTAGATTCTCAAAGTTATATATATATAACAATGAATGTCACATACTCACTTGCGCCCCCTCCACCATCACATTGCATAAATACTCTAATCATATGTTGTAACTCGTCTTCTGTAATCAAATTCAAATGATGAGGGTATTTTTTATAATTACTATWTAACTAATCGTATTTTGTTTTTAGGTGGTCAGTTGTGATGGTTCAATAGGTGGACCTCTAAAGAGATTTGACGGTTGTGGTGTATGCGGTGGTGACAATAGCACGTGTCGTTTAATTTCTGGTATTTTCACAAGACCAGACATGCCAACAGGATA